TAGACACAAAATTATTTTTTATTTAAAATTTAAATTAAAAACTGGACACCCACTTTCTCCCCCATGATTTTCATTCTTTATGTTTATCTTTTTTCTAAAATAACATAACTTATATCATTTAAAATAACAAACATCAAATCCAATATTAATATAGAAAAATACCTATTTAAAAGTATGAAACATAATCGTGCAAGGAATTGGTGAACCATCACCAGTTTATTCACCAACTTCGATCACCAACCGCCCAGTCACTTACCAAACACACGTTATAATCATAAAGGAAAATTTATTATTAAGTAATAAATATTTTGCGTTATACAATTATTTTTAAATTGAAGTAAAACTAAAAAGAAAAAGAAAAAATAATTAAATATATAATTTATAATTAATTTAAAAAAATTAAATTTAAAATTTTAAAAAAAAATTTAACTACTTAATTAATATTTTAAAATTCGGATTTTATAACTTCTATTATTTCATACGATCTAACAAGTTCATTTATTTGGCGCGTGATGCCACGTGAAAGCGTCGCTTAAAGTAAAGGCGAAGGTATGTCCGGTCAATGGCAAAAGCTGGTAGCGAATCCATGTACGGAAGTAACCTAGTACATGGTACAAGACCAAAGTTTATATATATATATATATAGGGTTTTATAAGAGTTATGTTGTAGGAAAATTGATTGTGTTATGTTATAGAGATTCGTTTTGCGTGCCGAAGTTTTTTTTTTTTTTTTTGCTGCGGGCCCCACAAAATGTTGTGTGTGTAGGAAAATTTTTGTGGTCATGTTAAATGATAGATGATAAACCCATATATATATATATGAAATATTTTTATGTTGTAAGAGAGTGATTATCTCATGTTATAGAAATAAAATTACAAGTGAGACCCATACGTAAAAGGAGAGATAAAAAAAGAGTGGTGGGACCCCGCCCTTTTTGTGTGTGTAGGAAAATTATTTATCTCATGTAAAATGAGATAAACATAACCCTATATATATAGGATTTTATTAATCTCATGTTAAAGGAGATAAGTTATCTCATGTCATAGAGACAAATTTCTGGGCTCTACCACCTGAAAAATAAAAAGAAAAGAAAAAGGTGACACAGTTATCGAAGGGTGTGTAGGAGAGAAACTTATCACATGTAGCATGAGAGTAATTTCTTTCATATATATATATAGGTTTGATGTTTGTCATTTTAAATAACATAAGTTATGTCATTTTAAGATAGAGATAGACACAGAAAAATGGAAATCATGGGAGAGAGAACATGGATGATTTTTTATAATTTAAAATTTAGATAAAAAAAAATTTATGTCTGTCTCTCTCTTAAAATGACATAATTTTATGTAATTTAAAATGACAAACACTTTTACCTATATATATATATAAAGTTTTATTAATCTCATATTAAAGGAGATAAGTTATCTCATGTTATAGAGATAAATTTGTGGGCTCCACCACCTGAAAAATAAAAAGAAAAAAAAAAAAAGGTGCACAATTATCGAAGGATGTGTAGGAGAAAAATTTATCACATGTAGCATAAGAGTAATTTTTCTCATATATACTATTCATCCAACGCTGAAGATTTGTAGTATAAAACAAACTTTTTTACCCCTTCATGACTCTAAAATGTGATAGGCAGGAAGGAAAATGAAAAGAGTATATTTTATACTACAAATCTTCAGCGTTAGATGAGATTACAATGTAATGGTGTTGAAAGAGATAGATAAATTAAGAGTGAGCAGAATAACCTATCATAAACTAAACTTTTTATGATAAAAACATGAGTTTACTAACAAATAATTTTAAATATTTTTTTTGTAAACAATTTTAATATATTTATCTATAAAATTAAAGGGGAAAATATATATGCTTTTACTGCAAAAAATTTTTTTCTATGACACACATAAACATGAATGAAATCCATGACTGAAATCCATTATAAAAAAAGAGAGAGAATAAATTAATGGGATTCACTCCCTTTTATGTGAGTGTAGAGAGAAAAAAAATTTCTTTAACAAAACCCAAAATCAAGTAAAGAAATAAAATTAAAATAAATAAATAAAATACCTAATATATTAAAAAAGGTTTATTTTTATTTAGAAAATTAAAAATATTGAATAGAAATGTTATGTTAAGAAGATATTAGAGCATTAATTACGAAGACTCTAAAAAGAATTACAAAAATGAAAGTGGTAATTTGTATGAAAATATAAAATGAATAAGGCTTCTATAAAATGAACAAGTAGGAAAGAAAAAAAAAAAAAAAACTATCCTTATAGTCTAGCTTAAGAGAAAAACTGACTTTACAAAAGAAAAAAAAATGTATCTGCCATTATAAAATGAATAAGGTTTCTTTTGCTTAGCTCTTCCACGACCATTATTGTAACCATTGTGACCACGTCCTCTACTTCTAGCAATGAAACGTCCCCTTCCTGATTGATGTTCCACTGGACTAAAAAATACTTTTGAACTTCCATCAACTACAGAACCAGGAACCACATTCTCCAAATGTATCTGCCTCTCTTGTTGAGTAATCAGGGAAAAGACTCGATTTATTGAAGGTAAAGGATCCATTAGCATAATTTGGGATTTTACATGAGTAAACTGCTCATTAAGTCCCTTGAGAAATCGGATGGAATAATCTCTATCCTTGATGTTCCTTACTTGAGAGGAAATTGTGCAACAAGGCTTAACACACTTACAAGTAGGTGTTGGTTGCAAGGATTCTAACTCATCCCATAAAATCTTGAGTTGAGTATAGAAGTCCGAAACTGAATTTCCTCCTTGATGCAAACGAAAAATTTCATCATGCAGATCAGAAATCCTAAAAATGTCAGATTGAGAAAACCTCTCCTTGAGGTCCTTCCAAACATCTACGGCTCGATCCATCCATAGGATCGATTGTGAAATAGAATCAGTAATGGATCGATGCAACCATGAAAGAACCATGGTGTTGCATCTCTCCCAAGCAGCATACCTTCGATCTGTCTGATCTGGCATTGAAATAGATCCATTGACAAATTGGAGCTTATTTTTGGAAATCAACGCCATGGTCATTGCTCTGGCCCATCCATGGTAGTTTCTTCCATTCATGAGTGTAGATACTAACACAAGAGACGGATTCTCGTTCGGGTGGAGGTAGTAAGCACTATTTGGATCTGAAAGATTCTCGGATGATGCATGCACAGCACCAGCACCAGGGTTCTCTGTCACATGCGTGGTGTTTGAACTATTCTCTTCTTGATGAGAGCTCTGATTCGCCATTGTTACTTCTCTGTGATTATCAGAAAAGGATCAAGAATCTTTATATGGAATTAATGGAACACGAAGAAGAAAGAGATAACCAAAAAAAATGGCGAATATCAGAGCTCTAAGAGCTCTGATACCATAACAGAATGAGAGAATACTGAATAGGATTTCATTATTTGAGTAATGAAGTGAATACGAAAGTTATGAATAGAAGGTAAAACATCAGCTTATATACAAGCTGTGAACAAAGCAAGTAACTCAAAGACTAACCAAGGTAAAACAAGTAACTCTAAGAACTAACTATAGTAACTAACCGTCTAACTATAGTAACTAACTGTCTAAGTCATGACAGCTATTAGAATGACTAACCTAAGTCTAATTACATGAGAGTCTAATTTAAAAACTAATTACATTTAAATAATGAGGTATAATATTATCCATTGTGGTTCAATCAAAATTAAATCCTTAACTTTTTCTTAGCATATAGAAATGGAAAGTAAAAAATAAAAAATGGGAAAGTAATTTAATTTGTGAATGTGAGATGTGTGGTGGTGTTAATGTTGGTGTAGTTGGACCCCAAAATAACTATAAATACTCCGAAGTACACTCCATTATGGTTGCGCTGCTTCTCATACATAAAAAGAAGCACGAGAGAAAGAACTGGTCTCTATAACCACACGAACTAACGGTTAAAGACCCCTCTCTTCCTCTTCTCACTCTCCTTCATTCATCCAACTTCCCCTTCTCTTCTTATTAAATATACCCTTTTCACATTCTCTTCATCTTCATTAACGTAACTCATTTCTCTCTCAACTTCTCTACTCACATTTTTGTTATTATTATTAGTATTAGTATTCTTTCTCTCATTCTCCATTGAGATCATCATCTACTGGTAAATGCCACAATGCTTTAATGTTCCTGATTTTGATTTTGCAGATTTGTTGTTGTAATGTTTAGATCTAAAGTGGAGTTTTGCTATTTAAAATGGATCTGAATTTTTTATACTTTGATTTCGTGGCCTTTTTGTTTTCCAAAAAATAATAATAATATTAATTCAATGACTTTGTGTATTTCTCATGTGCTCTGTTCTAAAATGTTAATTGATTCTATACTATGCTAATTCAATGACGAGTTATTCTTATGTGCATTAATCATACAAAAGAAAAATGTGATTCTTATGTGTATTAATCCTAAGTGATTAGGATTAATCTCTTAGGATTAATTTTTCCATTTCTTTATATTTTATGATTTGTTTGTGGAGTGCTTATAAAGTATAAATAATGATTGTCTTTTGTATCACGTAATTACTTATGTGTTTCTTATGTACTAAGCCTAAGTGATTAATCTCTTAGGATTAATTTTTCCATTTCTTTATATTTTATGATTTGTTTGTGGAGTCCTTATTAAGTATAAATAATGATTGTCTTGTGTATCACTTAATCACTTCACAACATATTAGTATATAACATTATTCAATTTTTCCCTTATCTTCATTTATGCATAAATCCTTGTAATTCAAGCTCCGATGAGGACTCTCTGGTTGCACCACCCTCTGTATAATGATTGATAACATGTTTCTTTGAGGAACTAACATATTGTGAGTGTTCACCAATTGATACAACATGTTAATGAATAATTTTAGTTATAGTTAAATGGTGTATAGTTGGTTTTGGAATATAACAGAACTGTCTTCAAACATAGACTAGTGATTTTTGCTTACAATTTGATGTGATGATGTAGCAGAAAAATGGCATCTCATATTGTTGGATACCCACGCATGGGCCCCAAGAGAGAGCTCAAGTTTGCTCTGGAGTCATTCTGGGATAAGAAAAGCAGTGCACAGGATTTGCAAAAGGTTGCTTCTGATCTAAGGGCATCAATCTGGAACCAGATGGCTGGTGCAGGAATCAAGTACATCCCCAGCAATACTTTCTCATACTATGATCAGGTGCTCGACGCCACCGCGATGCTCGGCGCTGTTCCATCCAGATATGGATGGAGTGGTGGGGAGATTGGATTTGATACCTACTTCTCCATGGGCAGAGGTAATGCCTCTGTGCCTGCAATGGAAATGACCAAGTGGTTTGACACCAACTAGTAAGTGATTTGGTTCATGTTTTGTATAGTATTGGTTGTTGCTTGCTTGCTTTTAATGACCATGGTTTTAATGATCTGATTACTGAATTAATGTGTATGTTGTGCATTGATCCAGCCACTTTATTGTGCCTGAATTGGGACCTGATGTGAACTTCACTTATGCTTCCCACAAGGCAGTGGATGAATACAAGGAAGCCAAGGCAGTATGTATTTATAGCTATTCTCATTAACTGCTTATTACTTGGAACCACTCTTATGTTAGGTACACTGAGCATAGTTAAGCTGTGACTGTGAGAAGCATTGGTATAAATGAATTGTGTAGTTTTGTTAATTTTTTTTTTTTCATTTGATGATGGTTGTTGGGTGTTTATCTATATCTACATCGTCATTGAATGTTTAATTTCTCTTCCAGCTTGGAGTAGATACAGTTCCAGTCCTTGTTGGCCCTGTGTCATACTTGTTGCTCTCCAAACCCGCCAAGGGTGTTGACAAATCCTTTTGTCTTCTTACTCTCCTCCCAAAAGTCATTGCTGTCTACAAGTAAGGATTTAACTTGTGCACAATTATTGATTATTTGCTCTTTATTATTTACATTTGTGTCATTTCTCTAACTTGATTATAACTGTAAACTCAGGGAAGTAGTTGCTGATCTTAAGGAAGCTGGTGCTTCGTGGATTCAATTTGATGAACCTACCCTTGTGTTGGACCTTGAGCCTCAGAAGTTGCAAGCATTTACTGCAGCATACTCGGAACTTGAATCTTCTTTATCTGGTTTAAATGTTCTTGTTGAGACCTACTTTGCTGACATTCCTGCTGAGGCATACAAGACCCTCACAGGTCTGAATGGAGTCTCAGCTTTCGGATTTGATTTAGTCCGTGGATCTAAGACTCTTGATTTGATCAAGGGTGGATTTCCCAGTGGAAAATACCTGTTTGCTGGAGTGGTTGATGGAAGGAACATTTGGGCTAATGATCTTGCTGCTTCTCTCAGTCAATTAGAGAGTCTTGAAGGCATTGTGGGCAAAGGTATCTATCTGTCAAACATGCATTTCATTAGAAAAATAAAAAAATAAAATTGGGAGACTTACGCAGTTAATATAGTTTCTTGATATATCTATTTACTAAACTGTATGCAGATAAACTTGTTGTGTCCACCTCCTGCTCACTTCTTCACACTGCTGTTGATCTTGTTAATGAGACCAAGTTGGATAATGAGATAAAATCATGGTTGGCTTTTGCTGCCCAAAAAATTGTTGAAGTAAATGCATTGGCTAAGGCATTGTCTGGTGAAAAGGATGAGGTAACCTCCATTCCTTTTAGTTTATCTCACATCAGACAAAATAAGATGTTAAATAAATAGATGATGTTTGTTACCTGATAACAAAGTGGTAATTTACTTAGCGGGGGAAAATATAAATACACAATAAAATATAGTTATCTTTCTTCCAACTTGTTTAGTTTTTGGTTTACCCTCTTTTTTTAGAAAAAGAACTTGTGCTAGGCAATAATTGGGCACAGTGGTGTTTGTGGAGGGTAAATGTATGCATCCTTACCAACGTAAGCAGATAGTTTAAATTATAAAAATAAGATACAAACATCTATTATCATAGTAAGAAATTTTTATTTGTTTTTCAAATAGATTCTTATATAGTTACAAAATCATCATGATTATTTAAATATTAATGTAAGAATTGAAAGAGAAATTACAGAATAAAAGGATCAAAACAACATAAAGGTAAATGAAAAGAAAAAAGTATACACTGAATTAAACTTAAGAAAATTGAGGGAAAGTATAATGTTCCCATAACATTAATAAGTACCATAAAACTAGCCAACTATTTTGTTAGATGTTGATATTGTGGCAGCCAATATATGCATATTCATATATTGTTTTATTCCTGTTTGTTTCACTACATTATTCATTGAATGACTGTTTTTATGGTTTCATTTTTCAGGCCTTCTTCTCTTCTAATGCTTCAGCTCTGGCTTCAAGAAAGTCCTCTCCAAGAGTGACTAATGAGGCTGTTCAGAAGGCTGTGAGTGCTTATTTTTCTGTCATTTCTGTTCAATTGCACTTTTCTGAAGTGCTGCATTTGTAGTGAAATTTATTCTCTTATTCCTTATGACATCTTTTCTGTCCCTCACAGGCTGCTGCATTGAAGGGTTCTGATCATCGCCGTGCTACCAATGTCAGCTCAAGACTGGATGCTCAACAAAAGAAGCTCAACCTTCCAGTCCTCCCAACCACCACCATTGGATCCTTCCCTCAAACTGTTGAACTGAGGAGGGTTCGCCGTGAATACAAGGCTAACAAGTAAGATATGCTGAGAGCTAATAACTAGGCTTGTTTTCTTAACCATTTTCCTTCTCTTATTGACTCTAATCTTGCTTTTATTCAGGATCTCTGAGGAAGAGTATGTTAGTGCAATTAAAGAGGAAATCCGCAAAGTTGTTGAACTCCAAGAACAGCTTGATATTGATGTCTTGGTTCATGGGGAACCTGAGGTCAGCTCTCATCTTCACATAACGACTAAATATTAATATGCTGAAGAACATAATAAAAGTGTTATAGAAATATAATATAAAACTATTAATGCGACTTTCACCTAACAACTTAAGCTTTTGGTTTGAATTAGTTCTTTATAAAAAGAGTTCTGTTACACTTCATTTACGTTCATATGGTTGAGTATACTACTAATTGTGCTTCGTACTAATTGTTGATGCCTTTCATTGCAGAGGAATGATATGGTTGAGTACTTTGGTGAGCAATTGTCAGGCTTTGCTTTTACTGTTAATGGATGGGTGCAATCTTATGGATCTCGTTGTGTGAAGCCACCAATCATCTATGGTGATGTGAGTCGTCCAAAACCAATGACTGTTTTCTGGTCATCTACTGCACAAAGCATGACCAAACGTCCAATGAAGGGAATGCTTACTGGCCCTGTCACCATTCTCAACTGGTCCTTTGTTAGAAATGACCAGCCAAGGTATAATATGAACTCAAGACCCAAAATAATATGGTGGGAAAAAAGAGTAAAAATTAAAGAGAGCCTGAAAAAAGATAAATTAATCAGTATTCACCATATTGTTATTACTTATTTCTAATACGGTGTTGTTATACCTATTCACAGATCTGAGACAACCTATCAGATTGCTTTGGCTATCAAGGATGAAGTAGAAGATCTTGAAAAGGCTGGTATTACTGTTATCCAAATTGATGAGGCTGCTTTGAGAGAAGGGTTACCATTGAGGAAGTCAGAGCAAGCTGACTACTTGGACTGGGCTGTTCATTCCTTCAGGATCACCAATGTTGGTGTGGAGGATACTACTCAGGTATTTCTGGATTACAAATCAATGGGTTATAATTTTTTTCCCCTTTTACATTTACATCTAAAGAGGGCGAGTTTGGAGCAGTGTTAAAATTGTTCCTTTGTGACTGAAAGGTTACAAGTTCGAATCCAAGAAACAGACTCTTTGCAAATATGCAATAATAAGGCCGGTATAAAGATTGCCCTTACCTCTACTCTTATTCGGCGGGGTTTAATAGAGAGTAGTGTTTATATTTACATATAGATATAATAGACTTGTATATTTTGTATCATGAAAAATTGACAGATCCACACCCACATGTGCTACTCTCACTTCAATGACATCATCCACTCAATCATTGATATGGATGCCGATGTGATCACCATTGAGAACTCTCGTTCTGATGAGAAGCTTCTGTCAGTGTTCCGTGAAGGAGTTAAGTATGGAGCTGGAATTGGACCTGGAGTTTATGACATTCACTCCCCAAGAATACCACCAAGTGAAGAAATGGCTGATAGGATCAACAAGATGCTTGCAGTGCTTGAGACAAACATTCTGTGGATCAACCCTGATTGTGGTCTCAAGACACGCAAGTACACTGAGGTGAATCCAGCACTCACAAACATGGTTGCCGCTACAAAAGTCATTCGCAACCAGCTTGCTAGTGGCAATTGAAAAGGGTGTGTTAAGAAAGTAGATTCTAAGTAATCAAGATGGTTATGCTTGATTTACATGGAAAGGAAAGTTGTCTATTTTGGTTGTTGCAAATAACTGTGTTGAATATTTTAGGTGTTTTTAGTATGCTCCTGTGAGCAATTATGTTTTCCAAAGTTTTATGTATTTTTGTGGCATTGCCTCAATCTTATATTGATATGCAAATGCAATTATCGGTTTTGTGCAATTAGCTATGAGTATATTTGTGGTATATTTTCTTCATGCATCAATACGATTTTATTCCTTAATGCCCCGAGCTTAGCTGGATAATGTACACTATTGGCTAACATGTATCCAAGAAACGAAACAACAATTTACAAATAATCTGATGGAACCAATTCACACACAGCAAAATTAAACAAATTAAACAGTAAGCTGATTGGAGAAAATTACAACTGAATAACACTGAATTGTATTGAAGAAAAAGTCCAACAACTCGAGACACATTACAAGAGAAAAATAACAGAATTAAATGGACACGACTGATATGGCTAACATAGCCTGACTCCCTTTCAAGAAGACTTCTCAGTCCCTCTTTTCCACCTTACACCTAATTACCCAATTTTTTGCCTACCTCCTCCCTATACCCATTCACTTCTTATACTAATTTCCTATCTTCTCTCTCCTGTAACAGCCAAAACCATGCCATACCCCACGTTCATTCCACCCACAATCCGTTATGCTGATTGTTGCATGCTATGATATTTGTTGCTTCCGCCTTCTCCCCATTTTGTCCCTGGGCCTTTGTTATACGTATGTACACATTTGGGTCCACTTCCTATTTATTCTCTGGATCTTTCTCTGGATCTGCCCCATTAATGTCAGGATCTGCCCCATTAAGACCACTCCTCTTCTTTTTCCTTGTATATACCTTTGTGAAGGGTCCACCATAATCATTTTGTATTAAGTTCCTTTCACTCCAAGCGTTTTATTTATCAACAAATCCGTCTGTGTTTAAGCCTAACATAACACGGAGAACATGTTAAGAACTTTGGGATACACCACCCCAAACGTTAGCTCAAAGGGTGAGAGTGTTCAAGGCCTTATAAAGGCCACATTAGTTGCCCACTTAATTAATGTGGGACTATATATCTCAACACGCCCCCTCACGCAAGAGCCCTTTGAGCTAGAAGCATGGAATTGCACAGACCCAATTTTTGGTTTACCTTTTTGTGCTTTTTTTTTTTATTTTAATTCCACTTTTTAAAGCGGGAGACGGTGAGGCTCTGATACCATGTTAAGAACCTTGGGATACACCACCCCAAAAGCTAGCTCAAAGGGTGGGAGTGCCCAAGGCCTTATAAAGACCACATTAGTTGCCCACTTAATTAATGTGGGACTATATATCTCAACAGAACAGAAATGAGATTGTGTTAAGAATATTCAAGAGCTATTTTTTGAAAAAAAAAAAAACAAATAAAAAAAAATGCAAAATTTGAACTCAGATAGTTAGATTTATTATATTCCAAGAGAGCCATTTTACCCTTCAGAATCCGCAATCGAAGATATCCTACAATTAGAGGTGTAAATGAGTCAGACGACTTTTAGACTTAACCTGAGTTGGTCTATTTAGTAAATAGAGCAGATTTAGGCTTCCTACCCTTTCATGACATGGATGGAGAGGGTATTATGAATTAGAACCAATACATATTAAGGAAGCCAATGCTCAAATAATTGTCAATTTCAGGTTCCCTCAGTGGTGATAAACTAAGATACTTTTGCTCCCTGATCTCCAAAGGGACATCCTGCATTGCTTGATTGTTAAGGAAGCTAACTCTAGAAAGATTTTTGTCAAACCAGAAGGCTATATTCTCCCCATTCTCAATGATGATCCTAAGTGTGGCACTACCTGGGGCCAAATGCTAGTTTTCCCACGCTACAAGTTAAAAGAATTTTTGTAGGGTCAGGGATTAGGCATCAAATTATCTCACACCTTATATTTGTGCTTCAGCACTCTAGCCTAGAGCACATTAATGTTAGTGAGGAGGTCAGGACTCAACTTTCATGATGAACACCTTATTTGCTTCCTTGATCCTATGTATACCCAGGCCACTAAGATCTTGGGTGGAACAAAATGTATTCCTCTCCACAAGGTGAGGTTTTATATGATTCACCAAAGAACCTTAAAGGAAATTCCTTGTAAGATTTCAATGGCTTCATAAGTTCTTGCTGCCAGGGAATAAATCTTGCTAATGCCAGGCAACCATATAAAGATAGAGTTACATGCTTCAAAGAATTGAGTTTTCTGTCTAGCCAATTAAGGATGTGTTTAAGGTATCCCTTCTAACTTTTTTATGTTGAATAGGTATTCTAAAGTATTTACCTAGATCAACAATTAGAAGGAATCTCATGTGTTGACTGATTTTGATAGCTCTATGATGATTAACATTGAAGGAGAAAAATGTTAGGAATGTGGCTTCTAGGGGGATGGATTGAGTATTTTAAAATTTTCGCAAAAATGGCTTGTTTCTAAATTATAATTTCATGCAAATTTTGGTACTTGAAAAGTTTACTATACATCCAAGCAATCTATAGTACATAATCTATCATAATTATAAAATTGATTCTAACATGTATAAGATAACAAGAAATAAGTAAAGTGCTAGAATATAAAGAGTTGAGGATTAGGAAGAATGTAAACAAATTATTCTGATTCGATCATCACTACTTGTGACATATGTCTAGATTGCAAGCCGCTAAAACAAATCTTCCATTATAGTTCAAGCTTCATGGGTGCATGACAAACCTTTAAAGCCTAGATTCTTCTGGGTGCTTGAAAATCTTACAATCCATTAAGTTTCACAAGTGTTTAGCAACCTTATAATCTCTAAGTTTCACGGGTGCTTAGAAACCTTTTAACCACCAAACTTCTCAAGTGCTTGAGAACCTCACAATATGAATTTACATTAGGAGAACAATAATCAAATGATAACTCTTTCAAAAAACAAGTATACAAGTTGAACCTATGTGTGAGTATATACGATGAATTTGCAAGAATGAGATTAAGATTGATAGATTCGTGTATATCATAATGAATAGTTATGAAGCTCCTTCTACCCTCAAAATACTCTTAGAATCTGTACAAATGATACTCAATATCTTTACGAGCCATTGAAAGTGTATATATATATATATATATATATATATATATATATATATATATATATATATATATATATATATATATAGTGATTTCATCAAAACCAGTCGTGTATAGCCATTATATGTGATCTGGATGCAAGGTATTCATTTGCTTTTCCACCAATATTCAAATACTTGTTTTTCTCCTAGAAAATATTGGAATACATTATGAAGTATTGGAATACTTCCTCGACAGCAAGTGAAAAATTGTCAGAAATGCATTTTTTCACTTCCTTTTACTTTCAATTGGTTTCTATCATTATAAGAACAAATAATTAACTCTTTGAAAAAATATTTCTAAGGTTCAAACATGTTCAAAAACATGTTGATTATTTTTCAAACAACATTCTTGACTCTTGTAAAAATAATTAACACATTTAGCATATGTTGGTAATTTTCTTTATCAGAAAAGCGTGCCAAGAAGATTTGTATAAGAGTCATGCAATTTTTAGAGATTATGCAATATTGAGCTCATGAAAGAAAAAACCATGATACCTTTACAACCTTATATAAGTTTTAAAAGTATATTATAATGGGAAAATGGACTTAACTTGTTGCATTTAATCTTGAATCTTTATGCTCCACATGAAGTTGATGCTTGACATGTTGGATTTAACAATACTTGACACTTTATTGGACTTATTCCTCTCTTATTGTAGTTTGTAACATAAGCTTCTCTTGAATGTTATAATAACCCAAGTAATTAAGTTGCATTAATTAGAAATTAATGTGTAATTAGAGGATAATTAGAAGGCTATTTAAATAAAAAAACACTCAATTTGGGGTTAAGCCTTACCCAAGGGTAAAATCATAATTTAGCGAACACTGCCCGAACTTAGAGTTACTTGCGAGTGATACACTGCATTTGAGCCCAATGGCCAAAAACTACCAGTCATGTGAAATTAGTGATTAAACGAATTAGTGTGATAGAAATTACAAGGAGGACAATATGGTAATCTCATCATGAGATATTTCTAAAATACCATGAGTCCATGACCATCTCTCTCTTCATTTTTTCATTTTTCCCAACTCATACTCTCTCTCTCTTCCACCCATCGTCGCCCCTCCCCTCTCATTCCACCTCCATTGTTGCTTTCTTCCTTCCTCAATCTTGGAGCTTGAAACCACCACTTCTACTTGGTGCCATCATAGAGACCCAAAGTTCCTTCACCCCAAAGCTTAAAATCAAGAAAGAACCCACTCGATCTTGTTAGATGTCTAGTTTAACCTGCTAAAAGATAGAAATATATAGTTATGGCAATCATTCCCAATTTTATGAAATGCGAAGATTGTTCAATGTTAAGCATTAATAAAATGAGATTTAAGCTTTGTTGGTTTACGGAGACCTCTTGACATTTATATAGAAGTAGAGTATGGCCTATTTAAGTATTCCACAAAATGTACAAAATGTTAAAGTTATGATTACAATTTTGAATTGTTTTAAATACGAAAAGAGTATTAATAAGAAAAATAATTATTAACAGAAAAAAAAAGTTTATCATTTTTTAATTCAATTGCTGTGATTATAATTATGCTTAATGCTATGCGCAATATAACAAATCGGATGCATACAAGGTATTACAAATATCATATCCTAAAATTTATTCATGTATTTAATGAATGAGAAAAATGTTTGTCATTTTAAATGACACAACATTGTATCATTTTTAATAAAAATAGGTCATTTTGGTATGTTTTGTCATTTTTTTTTATATAAAATTAGGAAGAAAAAGAAAGTAGAGGAGAGAATGTAAAAACACACCAAAACGATATAATTTCTTTAAAAATGACATAATTTTATATCATTTAAAATAACAAACAGTTTCACTGAGTGAGTAATTTCAAAATGTTAGGCAAATTGTTATTAGAGGTAACTTTTTGAATTGCATAGCCATATTTTCCGAATATTTTAATTATTTATGTCTGAAGATGAATGAGGATGATATGATAATTTTATTTATCTTTTATATTCAAAATTTTCAATTGATAAAATCATTCCATATACATTTACTTTTTCATTTATCAATTACATATTTTTACTTGACAAGACGTGATGATCTTTAAAATAATAAGTCTTATATTTAATTTTAATCGTTGATATATTTATATGTGATAACTCTAATTTAAATTGTTAGATACAAATTAGATTAAAGATTAAAATTGAGAATATAATTTATACCGATATAAATAATGTAATCCATTAATATTGTTTCTTATAACAAACTGTTGAAAAATATAAATACATTATCTATTATAAAATTAGTGATTAATGTTTTTTATGTTATATGAGTTAATTTTAATGCACAGTACACGCACATAAAAATATGTGAGACCTACGTGGGCTATGTAGAAAGAAGAAAAAGAAAATATAAAACCCACACAATGTATATGAGCTAAGATTATCTCTTATAATATGAGAAATACTAATACAATAAAATTAACGTAAAATACAAAAATATTAAATTAAAAGAAAAAAAAAACATTATTTTAAAACTTAACATTATAGATTGTAAATATAATAAAATGTTATTATTTATTCAATTATAATAATATTTTTATTTGTATTAATATTAAATATTCAAAAATAAATAAAAAAAGGTATGATGTTTCATATTGTAGAAAATAAAATTATTTTTTATATATACATAAAAATATATGAAGCTCATATGAGGTTATGTAAAGATAAAAGAGAAAAAAAAAATATTAACACCACACACCTTTAAATGTATATGATTTATTTCCTATAATATAAGAGACATTAAATTTAATAAAAAATTTAAAATATAATCAGGAGCAAGTATCAAGATGCATCCACAATAATTCATTTTCAAGCTAATCAAATACGAAAATTTATAACTCATATATGAGTTTAAACATTCTTATTTTCTAGAAGATAAAATTACACGAACATTATATATGCTTGAGAAAATTTTGTCTCGTAAACCCCTAATATAATCTCTATTATTAAATGCAACTCACAATTTTATGAATATTTTGATACTGCTGCTACGAGCCCACAGCAAAAAAAGAAAAAGAAAAACAGTTCGATATCCTCAAACGCACTGTCACTGTGTTTGAAAGTAACTTTGAGACCCAGTGAGATTCTGAGGGGTGGTTCCACCCAAAGAACAGGGCCAAAACGAGCATAGAGATAGAGTGGTGGTTCCACCCAAAGAACAGGGCCAAAACGAGCATAGAGAGAGAGATAGAGACGAAGTTGAATCAGTGAACAATGTACAAAACGAAGGTGCAAGAGTTGTGCCAGAAAAAGTCATGGAGTTTGCCGGAATACGAAACGACCAGAGAAGGACCCGATCACAACCGTCGCTTCACTTCCACCGTAACCGTTAACGGCGTTCCCTTCCACTCACCTTCCCCTTGCCGCACCGTTAAAGAATCGCAGAACACTGCAGCCATGCTCGCCTTCAACCATTTCTCCCAACCTAATCCGAATCCCAATCCTAATCCCAATCCTATTTCTCTTTGTCCCCTTTATTCTTTTCCTCAACCCTCCCTCTCTGGATTTTCTTCTTTTCCACAACCTTCTCTTTGCGCTCCTTCCACACCATCACCATCATCATCACCATCTTCTGGTACCTCTTATTGTTGCATGACTTATTTATTCAATTATTCTTATATTAATGCATAAAAGTGTCTTATTCTTATATTATTATTTAGATTTAATTTTTGGTTTATTTTAATGGAATGGATAGAAGTGTTTATAAGTATATTCTATTAACTAAGAAGTAAACAGAATAATAATAAGGAGATTACTATATCCTATACCATAAATTGGAGGGAAAAAAAAGTAGAATTGAATAAAATGTACTAGTTTATATGTCATTTCATTCTATTTCAACTTATTTTAAGCAGTTGAAATAATAATAAACTAATGTCATTCCTTTTTCCTTTCACTAAATCCAATGATATCCTTAGATTTCATAGCCATAGTTTTGAATTTATGTGCTGTGTTGCATGTCTTGAAGATATTATTTGCATTTGCTTCCCTATATTAATGAGTAATTCACCTCCTCCCTTGCATGGAATTAATTTTCGACCAGAATGTGCAAAATGAAGGATTTTAGAGTAGTCAAGTGTAGAGTGGAATCCTTAGCTTTTTCAATTGTTGGGAAACTACTTCAGTTATCTGTTGTGAAGTGTGTACTATTTCTATCAATAGTTGAGGGTTTGAGACTCTTAAGATTATTTCTTTTTGTTGTTTGTTTCCATAGAATGTTGAGTTGCAATATAAGGGAACATGTAATGCTGAACTTCTACACAGCTTCAGGTGAAATCATCTTGAAGCGCTCGTGTTATTGCATTAGATTTGCTTCTTTCTGTCTGATTCTTTGTAGAAGTTGTTTTATTTATTGTTTCTTGGGTCAATAAGATTGTATTGGCCCAAACATGACACAAGCAAGAGATCCTGCACACTACTACAATGAAAGTGTATATTATTGTTATGTCCTGAAGTTTGTTTACAATTATCTGTATAAAATGTGACATAATTTGATTGTATTCAATACTGGCCAGCCTAACTGATTTCAGTTTGCACATAATGGTATCCTTGAATGATTTTAGGCATTTTTTGCTCTCTTATTTTCTTGTTGTAAGTGTTTTTTATTTGTTTGTTATAAAATTATTGAGTTTATAAATTGTGTGTCGTTAGCCCGTTACACTATTAGTTTAGGTTAATCCTTCTCTCTTCCTAATTCACTATTCAAAGTAGCGTGTGATCGCATTTTAAAACACTTGAATTGTGCTGTGTTCCTTATTCACTAATCAAATATAAGTACATTTCATCTCTTTCCGGATGCATGTGTAATACTATATAATTGGATCTTAAAATGAACAGCTTCTTGATTTTTGCGAGACTATATTCCAGATTTTGATCTTTACAAAAGATTCATGTTAATTTGTATTGGACCTGCAGGTTTTGCTGCTCCCAGCACTGATGTTGATAACATACTTCCCGCAAGCAGAGAGTTGCAACCGAAATTAGAAGAAGCATGCCAAACTTCTCAGATTAGTAGCCCTGTCTCAGCTGTTAGAGATATCATGACTGCAGGAGATCAGAAAAGTAATATGATTACTCTTTATCTTCTTTTTTTGGTTCATGGTTTAATGTGATAGTGTGTTATTATAATTAGTTGCAGTTGAGTAGGTTAAGGATCTTTCTTTTGTCTGAGAGATGGAGTTTTTTTGGCAGTGGGGGGTGTCTGATTTGCGAGATCTAAAATCAGATGCAGTTTTCCCTCTTACCTGAAGGCAGTGTCTCTTCTGCAATTTCAGTTTTCATTTAAGTTATAAGAAAAAATAATTATGGCATTTGTAATATGCCCTAGCGTAACACATTGGCATTGTATGAGGGATTGCAGGGGATTTCAGGTAGAAAACTTATTGCCACGGGTGCCAGTGATGTTTCACTAGCCTAGGTTCCCCCTCTCACACCGTGCAGTTTTATCTTTTTCCCCTTGTTGAATGTGCTGTAGGAATTTTCTGCCTCCAGCCTAATGATTGCTGCTGCCAACAGACACTATGCTGGGGCAGTAGAAGCTAAAAGGGCCTGATGTCCATTTGGAAATTTTGCTTTTAGATTTTTTTTCTATAGAACATGTAGCTACTCAGCGTCTGTTTTCACAATGCAGATGCGGATTTGTGAAATTTAAAGCATTTAACAACAACAAACATCATTATCCCACCAGATTAGGTTGGCTGCATAGATCAACCAAGCCATAATAGTCGAAAGTATGAAGGAAGTTGATAATAGCAACATAACATATTTAATTCTTTGGTTACTTATCCTTTTCTGTCATGGGATTATATTCTTTAATTAATGATTAATCACAATGTGATAGTATTTCTTATGACTTTTTTACATTCAATTTTGTCATAGATATGTTACATTTGTACAAGAATCAACTGCAAAGCTATGCTCAAAAGAGAAACCTACATCTCCCAGTGTATTCTTCTGAATGGGAGGGCCCTCCTCATGCCATGCGTTTTAAGTGCAAAGTCACAATTGATGGACAAACCTTTGAGAGTCATAAGTTCTTTTCTTCATTGAAGGATGCTCAACATGCTGCAGCTGAAGTTGCTTTAATGTCATTATCACCAGGCGGAGTTCAAGAGGCTAGTCTTAATTTCTTTTAACTATTTAGATAACTTTCTTAGCAACCTTTTAAACACCTTTTCTACTGGTGGTACATTGTCTAAAAATTTCAGGATCATATTGTGTTATACAAGAATCTTTTGCAAGAATTGGTTCAAAAGGAAGGATTTAGTTTACCCATTTATAGTACAAATAAATCTGGTGAGGCTCATATGCCAATATTTCTGTCACAAGTCGAGGTAGAAGGGGAGCTTTTTACTGGACAAGAAGCTAAATCCAAGAAGCAGGCAGAGATGAGTGCAGCCAAGGTTGCTTATATGACATTGAAAGAACGCAAAGGTAATTTTTTAATAGTGTCATAGTTTGTCTTTCTAACTCAATGTCCATCAATATTGGTATTGGATATTATTATTGACTTGGATGCTGTTGAAAATCGTCATTATAAATGAGCTTAATCCTTGAGTCCGGGAGCATGAGTTTCATGAAAATTGCCTTCAATGTATAGATAAGGGGAATGATTTAGTTTGTGTCTCATATACCTAGGGTTTGGGTGAATCATTATTTACCTAACCCTAGCCAAGTGACCAATCACTTAAGCCCACTACTAGACGTGTCAAAATGCGCTGAAGCTCGCGGGTCAGCCCTAACCCTTAAAGCCCTATAATTTAGCAGGCTGGGTTAGGGCTGGCCCACGGGACAAAATAAAAGGAAGAATAAGATAAGAACAAGTACGAGCTCTTGAAGGTAAGAAAATATTATTATATTCTGAATTTACCAAGTACCACTTTTTTCATCTAAGACATGTCCTTATGTAGGACTCTAAACATAATTAGGGGAATAATTACAATTCAACACACCATTTGTGTAATGGTTGTAGAATATATCAAAGGTCATGAAAAATAAAAAGTCACATGTTATGAACCATGTAAAAGGTCATCCACAATATTTTACAACACTCTCCCTTAGATGTATTCTACAATTCAACACACCATTTGTGTGATGGGTATAGAACACATCAAAGGTCATGAAAAACAAAAGTCACATGTTATGAACAATGTGAAAGGTCATCCGTAATTCATGTGAAAGGTCATCCATAATATTTTACAACACTCCCCATTGGATGTATTAAGCTTTTAGTTTTCCACTACAGTTGTAGTATTCTGTTATGACTCCCGGTGAGAAAATCTTTATTTGATGACATCATTTAATAATGAATTTAGTAAAAGTAATAACTAAATTTTCACGTATATTAAAATTTTGTTTACATTTTTCACTTTTATATTTGTATACAAATACAAATATTATTTTATTAAAAAAAGTAAATTATAAAAAATTTATAATTTGTATAAAATATGTTAAGAAAGTGTTAAATGTTTATTTGTTAAAATAATTTTTAATGTATTGAATCAACATCAACATCACTTTTATCCCAAATTAATTGGGGTCGGTGGTAGATGAACCCACATGAAAGGTACAAAACGGTTGTAAAAAAAAAGGAAAAAAAGTAATGATATATATGTATATATATATATATATAGAGGTAGGATCCTTTGACACCGGTGTCAAATTTGAAATTTGACACCTCATCTGAGAGCCATTAGATAAAAAAAGATCAATGGTATCACATGCTTACAAATCAGAGTCGTTGATCTTTTTTTATCTAACGGCTCTCAGATGAGGTGTCAAAGGATCCTGCCTCATATATATATATATAAGTAAAAAAGAAAGGGAAAAGAAGAAGTGGGGGAAATGAAGGGGAAAATGACTAAAAATGGACCATCTGGACCATAGGAATAACAACGGGTCTAACCCTCCACCATACTTATAGCTTTTCTCCATTCCGTTCTAAGACATACCGTCCGCCAATCTATATCCCACTCCATTAAATCTTGTTTTACTACCTTCCCCCAAGTAAGTTTCGGCCTACCTCTGCCTCTTTTTGTGTTGAGCTCTTGGTAACAAACTTCTGTTCTCACAGGAGCATCCAGGGGCCTTCTCATCACGTGCCCAAACCACTTCAATCTATGTTCTCTCATCTTCTCGGCTACTGATACTACTCCTACCTTTCATCGAATATCTTCATTTCTTATCTTATCCATCCTTGTATAACCACACATCCACCTTAACATCCTCATCTCTGCTACTCCCACCTTATGCTCATGTTGCCTATGTGCTGGCCAGCATTCCGCTCCATATAGCATTGCCGGTCTTATTGCTGTTTTATAGAATTTTCCTTTTAACTTAAGGGGGATTTTGCGATCACACAACAATCCAGATGCACTGCGCCATTTCATCCACCCTGCTCTGATTCTATGATTTACATCCTCATCAATCTCTCCACCTTTTTGCAAAATGGAGCCCAAGTATTTAAAAGCATTTTTTTCGGGTACCTCTTGACCACTTAGATGCATGGGATCTTGGTCCCCATCTCGTACCAGAGAAAACTCACACTTCAGATACTCAGTCTTGCTTCGACTTAATGTGAATCCTTTGGATTCCAATGTGCTTCTCCACAATTCAAGTTTTCTATTAACACCATCCTTGCTCTCATCAATAAGCACAATATCATCTGCAAAAAGCATACACCATGGCACTTCCTCTTGAATATCTTTTGTTAGTTCATCCATAACTAAGGCAAAGAGATAAGGACTTAGAGCCGACCCTTGGTGTACACCTACCGTGAGTAGCCCCATCATACATATCCTTGATTGCCTTTACATACTTTGATGGAACCTTTTTCTTCTCCAGAACCCACCATAAAACTTTCCTTGGAACCCTATCGTATGCTTTCTCAAGGTCTATGAACACCATATGTAAGTCCTTCTACTTTTCTCGATATCTTTCCATTAGTTGTCGCATCAAGAAAATGGCTTCCATGGTACATCTTCCTGGCATAAATCTAAATTGATTTACAGAAACCTTGGTATCTCTCCTCAAGCGGTGTTCAATAACCCTCTCCCACAACTTCATAGTATGACTCATTAGCTTAATGCCTCTATAGTTTGAATAATTCTGTATATCTCCCTTGTTTTTGTAGATAGGCACAATCATACTTTTCCTCCATGCATCAGGCATCTTATTTGTCTGGAGAATCTTATTGAAAAGATTGGTCAACCATTTTATTGCCACATCCCCCAGGCCTCTCCACACTTCAATGGGAACTCCATCAGGCCCTAAGGCTTTATTAGTCTTCATCCTCTTTAAAGCCTCCTTAACTTCATGTGCATTAATTCTGCGCACAAATCTTCTATTCATATCATCATAAGCGTCTTCCAAGTCCACCTCGCTTGTATCTCCATCCCCATTAAACAGCTTGTTGAAGTAGTTCAACCATCTTTCATTCACATCTTCATCTCTCACCAAAAGTTTTTGATTTTCATCCTTGATGCATCTAACTTGTGTGAGGTCTTTACTTTTCTTATCCCTTATTTTTGCAAGTTTATAAATACCTCTTTCACCATCCTTGCTCCCAAGATTATTATACAACTCAGCGAAAACCTTGCCTCTAGCTTCTCGCACTGCTTTCTTTGCATTTTTTCTCGCCAATCTAAACTTTTGCAAGTTCTCTTCATTGAGACTTTTATGCAAAGATCTAAAGCACTCCTTCTTATGTTTAATTGCCTCTTGCACCTCTCCATTCCACCACCATGTTTCCTTTGTATGAAATCCATTTCCTTTGCTTTCTCCCAACACCCTCCTTCCCATATTGTGAATACACTTAGCCACCTCATTCCATATTGCATTTACTCCTCCATCAAACTCCTAAGGTCCTTCGTGCAACATTCTTTCATTGAACTCTTTCTCTTTTCCCTCCTTAAGCTTCCACCACCTTATCCTTGGGTTCTGAGTCCTCTTCCGCATTGTAAGTACTTTGTTGAACCGAACATCCAAGACTAATAACTTATGTTGCGTAGCGACACACTCTTCAGGATAGACCTTACAGTCGACACAAGAAGTTCTATCTTCTCTTCTAGCCAGAAAGAAATCAATCTGACTATAATTTTGGCCACTATGATAAGTGATTAGATGTGACTCCCTTTTTTGAAAAAAGGTGTTCACTAGCATCAAATCGTAGGCTAGTGCAACGTTCAAGATATCTTCTCCAGTCTCGTTTCTCGTCCCTTTTTAATGTATTGAATATGATAAAAAAATTATGAAATTATAATTTTGGATGGTCCGTGGGCTAGTCCTAACCCATAGGGCTTTTGGCCCGTGAAGGCCTTTATTATTGAGCTAACCCATATGGGCTATGGCCTAATGAGACGGACTGACCCATTTTTACAGCTCTACAATTGGATTGGAGCGTGATCGAGCCCAACTAATTACACCAAATAAATAAGATTATCGAGAAGATTTGGAAGGACTAAAGTGTAATATTGCCGTTAGAATTCTGCAACTGTAGTTTATATTCTGTTCATCAAGTTGTTTTTCTTTGTTCTGCTATTCCTTGGTAGAATCAAATAATCAAGGCACACTTTTGGATTATAGTGACATCTACCTTCTTTTTTATTACTATCAGTATTATTAAGATGTAAGAGATGTGAGAGCCTAGTATCTTCCTATCTACTGAAAAATGCTGGTCATTGTACTTTTGCTTGATTTTTTTCAGGTAAGTCAGATCAGAGCTCCTTATTTCCTTTGTCAGCTCATCAAGGACGAGCTCCTGATTTCTCACCTGACTTCTCAGAGGCAAATGTCATTCCCAGTCCTCAACTCCATGCTAATCCAAGATCACCTGTAAGCCCTGGATTAATCACTTGCAATCAACCTGACAAGCATAAAGGTGAGTCCTCAAAGCCTTTATCATTTCTACAACATGTCACCACCCCCTTCTGAAACAAAATTATGGACTTTATTTCAAATTCTGCATGTATTATTGTATCAAGTCTAATACCCTAATCTTGAACACATAAATTGTAGAGTAGATTCTTAGATGTTAAAAATAAAGAAATATAGATTCAAGGTACACAATTTGCAAAACTAAATTATGTACACTCCACCATTAGCTGAATTTATTAGCAATAAACTGATAGATTCTTAGTGGTTTTTTACTTGGTTTAACCAAATCCAGTTTAAGGTAATCCAACTCCCTTCTCATAAATCTTGGAAAATGACATAGTGGTTTATAAAACTGCCACTTGTTAGGCACCAAGGTCTTCACGTAGTATTAATTAGCATTTATTGGCATCCATTAATTTTAAGATTAGATTATGTATTAGTATCAATCACCATTAATTGGCTTTGTACCTTTTTTAACATTTCAATTAGTCTTTGGTATCAATTATGAATAACATTTATGAATAATAGTTGTTTTCTTTTCGGTTTTAGTATTTCAAATTGTTATAAAAGGTCAAATGACTGAATGGAATGGACAAGAAGAAAATTACTTCAAAAAATTCTCTGATTCTCTTCTGTCTCTCAATCGATCTCATTCTTGCCTCTTTCTATCTTCTTTTTTGTCTTCTCCCTCTGCAATTTTGCCAACTATAGAATTACACTTAAACTTTTTGGCGCTTTCATTGACTACCTCCCTTAATACCGGTAATCGAGCCACAGGAATAGGAGGAGGCCATCCCGGAGTTGTGCCAATAGATCTCCGAAATTTAGGCATTGACCACCGCCATCCAGAACTGGCAATTGGTGATGGAGACCCTCATGGCACTATGATACAGACCAACCACTAATTAACAGAACTAAAGGAATTAATGCAGTAATTTGGATCTGAATATTATACCTTCATATATTGAAGCACAAACGATTACAAACAGAGACACATTAACAACAACTTTTGCAGGAAATATGAAATTAAAGTGACACTAAGGAAAACACAATGCAGGAAAAAGTAAGATAGTGTGGAACACATATGAGAGGTTCCACTCTCTCCCAATCCCAAAAAGGGCCCAAGCAATTCCCAAAATTCCAGATACCCTCACTCTTCTTCTTCCTTGCTATTTACCATCTCAACCTCCTATCCCACGCCATGAAACTGATTTGCTGATCAGCAAAGGCTGGGCCCACATTATTTTGTAATGCTTTAATAAGAAATCTCTCACCGTTATTTTGTAATGCTTTAATAACAGCTTTAAGAGATGCTGCTGTCTTAGACAAGGCTGGATCCCCCTTTAGGAAACGAGTTTCACCATCTATATCCACCTTGATAGTTAAATCTCTGAAATTGGCTCTTATTTCTCCTAAAACCATTCCATTTCCAGCACCACATCTGCGCCTCCTAACTCAAAAATGTAAAGGTGTTGTTGAATAGGCCACCCTTGAAGCCATAAAAGGACTTCTTTACAGACCCCTTTACAAGTAATTTTTCTTCCATCTCCCACCTCAACTTGATATGGTGGTGTTTCCTGAATTGGCAAACGAAGTTCCTGCACTATGACACGAGCTGTCGAACTCGCACAAATTAAAAATTAATTCTTTAGGGTTCAGAAAATTTTTGTAGTAAAGTGCAAACCCTAAGTCGTCTCTCAAGGAAATTGTTTGGGTAAAAATCGCTTATGATGACAGAAAATAAAAGGGGAGTTTGTTTTGATTTCAGTTTGATAATTTAAAAAGGCAGAATGTAAAATTGTATGTAAAATTCGTAATTAAAAATAACCAACCTAAGGTTTGGGTTCCATGGACGTCTTTCCTCGGATAAGAGGATATCAGAATCGTGATTGATTTGTCAATCGAATCAGAATCCTTATTTCCAATTGACAACCCTCTCTAAGCGATCGCTTAGCATTTGATCAAAGACGATGCTTCTACTCATACAATCGCAGAGTATCAACCCGCTTGATTTAAGGTCATAGGGTCAATCAACCTAATCATCAAATCTGATGATTAATCCCTTTCCATAATCGTAATCGCGAACCTCAGATTGAATATCCACGATCGCACGATATCAATCTGAGTTGGGAGGGGAAACGAAACTGATTTGAAATAAACGCAGACCCTCAAGACTAATCCATGGAATCCATTACCCTTAGGTTGATTAAAAGGTTCTTAGCCTCACATGACTAAGGTAAACATAATTCAAAAAATAAGAAGAAGAAGAAGAAGAACACAATTGAATAAAAACTCAGAGAGAACTTCTCTGTTGTAAAAACTGACTTCCAAGGGTTTCCTAGAGTCCCCTTTAAATAGCCGTCACGCAGGACGGCTAGGGTTTCATCACTTCAGCCCAAACATAAAATAAAAACCGAATAAAATAAAATGAAACAATAAAACTTGGCTTTGGGCCACTTAAGTAATTGGGTTTTAATTTAAATTATAAGCCCAATAGTCAAACAAAACTTCAGCAAAACGTGTCCAACTTGGCATCCGAAATCGACCAGCTTCCAGTCCAAATTGGGCTTCGAGCTCTTCATAAGAATTGTAGCTCTCTGTGTTATCTGAAAAACCCAACAAGAACGGAGTCAATCCGACAACTATGGACCGAGATATGGCCAAAATACTGAAGTAACGTAAAGCTGAAAAATTCTGACGAAAATAAATTAAACCCAATCAAAAACTAAAAACCTAAATTAACTCTAACAATCATTATTTTATTCAAGTAAATCCTAAAAATACTAATCAAGAGTAACAAATAAGTGTAACAAAATATGTGTTATCAAATTCCCCCACACTTATCTTTTTGCACTCTTGGCAAAAACTAAAATTGAAAGCAAATACTAATATCAACCAATCCTTTCTAACAATTACCAAGCATACATAAAATATACAAAGATCACAAGTCTTCTACAGATAAATCAATCAGGACAGAAATTCCCTAATCTCAAATCACAAGACCTGCTAATTTCAGCTGCATATGCCAATTACATAAAATGGTTTCTCACATGATGCTCTCAATATTCTTCTCTCAAGTGTATCAGGTAATCAGTGTATCACTCAAATCTACTCAAGAAAATCATCCTACCATAGGCTTGCTCAAGTTCTACTTCTCCACTGCTCATAACACATGCATGCACAAATCAAGAGGGCTTTATGCAGGGTTGTAATTGGGCTGAGGTAAAGGTATGGATGAATATGGAAGAGAAAGCTAAACACCCCAGAATTTTACAAAGAGCAAAAGTTAAGAACTAAACTAAGAACATAAAACAAAGATACTGAAAAGATAAACACTTTTTTTGTTTTTTTTTGTTTTTTTTGTTTTTTTTTGTTTTTTTTGTTTTTTTTTTTTGTTTTTTTTTGTTTTATAAGTAAAACCACATAGCAGAAATGAATCAGATGGTCACCCCCCACACTTAAACTTTTGTCTGTCTCGGGCAAACCCCCACACTTAAACACAACATCACAATGAAACCAATGCTCAGTAAAACTCCAGGGTGTGGAATTAATTGGTTTTTCACTTAGGCTTGTAATGCGGCTTAAGAAATAAAAGATATAAAGGCTCAAAGGGGCTCACCAAGGGATAATAATATAAGGGATGGCTATCTGGCTAAAGTGGGTACAGAAAAGAAAGAATGCCTCAATCATGTTCATGCATGCAAGTGAAAAATGCAGTTTCAAAAAGAACAAGAGCAAGTTCTAGAGAACAACAATCAAGAGCAGAAACACACAAGAAAGAAAGCATGGCCAGAATATATGCCATGTATGCGGGCTCAAAACCTCCCAAGGGTAAACCAAGTCATGCAATCAACAGGTAGTTGTAATCCAAGAATCGAGATCAAAGCCTAACAGATTATGCTATCAAACACTGTGATCTAAGTCTACTCCATGTACCACTCAATAATTACCAGAAAGAAAAGGAAAATCTACCTATGAAAAATCATAAACTAAAAGAAAGAAAGGAAAAGAAAAATAAAAATGCAAATAACAGAAAGAAAAGAAAAAGAAGGAGGAGAACTCCCTGAACTCCCTAAGGAGAATAAACAGCATCAACTAGCTTGATTTCTTCCTCACTGGTTTAACACTTTCTTCAAGCAAAATGCGGTGCAAGCACATGGAAGGGCTAATGCCAATAATGTCAGCCATTATCCACCCAATTGCCTTCTTATTTGCTTTCAGCAGGGTTAACAGTTTATCTTCCTGCTCAGGTAGAAGGTTCTTTGCCACAATGACTGGTAGTTGCTCATTCTCTTCAAGAAATGCATATTTCAAGTGGTCGGGAAGAACCTTCAACTCCAATTTCGGAGGCTGCTCAATGGATGGAAGAGGTGTAGTTGGTGGTGCAAATTCTGCAGAAAACAAGTCAGCAGCAATGCCTGTAAACAAATTCTCAGAAACAGAATTAGGATCATCAATAATATCAGTAGGCAATTCAGAAAATGCAGATTCACACTCTGAATCAGAATAATCAATCAGTGCATCATTGAAACCAGAAAGATGAGATGCTATTTCAGCACACACAATGCACTCTTGACTATCACCAAAACCACAGAAATCAGAATCAGTAGATGAAAAATCAGAAAAATCTTCAAGGAATTCAGCAGAAACATCCTCAACAACTTCGTCTATCACATCAATGCAGAAAACAGAATGCTCAGATGTATCAGTGCTCTGCTTCTTGGAGCTAGTGTCACTTCCCTTAGATGACTCAGCAGCAGTGTGGTTTGGCTCCTCCATATGTTTTCCAGATCGCAGAGTAATAGCACTCACATTTCCGCTTCCCTTTGGATTTGGAACTGTTTGGGATGGAAGGGAGCTGCCACTTGCTTGTTGATTTTGACTCATTGACGTTGCAAGTTGGCCAATCTGTGTTTGCAGATTCTGGAGGGAAAACTCAGTAATCTGCTGGAACTGCAGATTGTTAGTTGCCATCTGCTTCACTAAATCCTCCAAAGAAGGGCC